CAGGACTGGTCAAAATGAGGACATTTGATTGCTTGAAAGAGCTAAGCATGCACTGTACATGCAGTTTGGTTCCTTATTCAAGATTCGAACTATGCATCCTTTTCCTTTTCTTTTTCTTTTTCTTTCTTTGCTTCAGACATATGTGAAAAATTTACAGTAATTACTGGTGTGCTTCAGACATGTGAAAAATTTACAGTAATTACTGGTGAATATATCCTGATCATAAACAGCCTAAAAGGATCCATCCGCACAAAAGTTCAACTGTCCAGAAGATGATGTTGGTAATTTTTAATAATATTTATTTACTGAATCATTACAGAGGAGTTTCACCTGCAACCACAAACTTACTAATTATTCCGAGCAATAAAATTGAATGCATCATAAGAAAACGAAGAAGCGTGGGGAGAGGAAATGATTCTGCTGGATCATCGTTCGATAAGTGGACAAGCAGTCTGCATTATGAATTGGTTTAAAAATTTGAGTCTCAGCAACTTGTTTTTCAATTGAGGCCTTGTAATAAATGTGCCAGGCCTATAGCTAAAAGACAAGAACATAGGCTGAGGGAGGTTTTATGAAGCTACAACCCAGCCCAGTACCAGCAGGACCGACGACTTATGGCTTCCATGAAAATGAATGACAATCTCTTCGACGTCACCAGGTAATTACAGATTCAAGAACTTGGTGGATTTCCTCACTGGATTATATTTATTGCACTTCTCCAAGTAAACAAAAAAAAAAAAGTTTTAATGCTAATCATTCCTAACAATTCCTAATCATTTATGATAAATCTTTCAAAGTTGATCATTTGGTTCATTCCCCAAAATATTAAATTCATTGCTTTCATTATTTTATAAAGTGTTTTACCAACATGTAACATGTTACCCAACGTGAATCATGGATCATGTTGTTATTAAGTGCAACGAGTATGTGTGTGTCTATATATATACATACATACATACATATATATATACATATATATATATATGTATATATAAGACAAAAAAAACCTCTTAAAAAACTTTTAGTAGACCCAGCTAAGAGAAAGATTCAATGTATTTAGACACATTTATATTTCAAGTCCTATTTTTTCTCATTAAATGTATAAAATTTTTTAAAATATCCATTATATTTTCTTCAATATTGGATTTATGTAAGAGATATTGTATAAAAAAATTTAAAAAAACACATTATATTTTCATTCATATTAATATATATATCAAGATTATTTTTCCTCATTAATATTTATGATATTGATATTTTTTTATCAACATTAATATATATGTTTAAGATATTTTCTCTTTTTAATATTATCAAAATAATATTACATTTTAGTCTCTCTTATCCAAAAAAAATTGTGGGCTATAAATAGACAATAAATTCTTAAAATTTTTATTTTTTATTGCATATTTATTTTAAAATATTTTTTAAAATATTATTATATTTTATCTTAAAAAATAATTAATTTAATCATTCGAAAGTTTTTTTTAAATTTTTTTTTTGCATATGTCAAGCATCAGGCCACCTCAAAAGGGAAATAGAATAAATTGTCAAAATTAAAAAATTAATGAATTATCTAAAACATAAACCTTACTCACATGTTACTTTTATATATATATATATATATATATATATATATATATTCACTAAAAATCTAAAACATGTTTGCATTTCACTGTAGCATAATGTCTTGTTTCGTTCTTTTAAATTTTATCATGATCTATTATTCAAGTTTTTTTATTTGATTCTTGGATTTTTGTATGCATTTGTATTTTTTTGGGTTAACTTTAAGAGTAACTGAATCAATTTTATTGATTAAAAATAAAATTAGAAAATAAGGGATCAAAGTAGAAAAAATGTCATAAATGGATGATGGTTTCAAAATTCACACAAAAAAATTAATTTAGTCTTCATACTTGAAAAATTATACATTTTTGGTACCTTAATATTTTTTTAATTCAATTTCAATACAAAATATTATTTTTTTTCTATTTTTTAGTTCTTGATTTAAAAGAAAGGAGAGAGAGGATATTGGATTCGAGTGACAGAAAGAGAAAAATATCGTTTGTATTAATTTTGACCACCAAAACAACTAATCTTTGTATCAAGTAGTTCCAAAATTTCATATGTGATGATTTTTTTTACCCTAAAAATGATTGAAAATAAATTTAAACTTTGTAAATTTTTTGATTTTAGGTTTCAAGATAGTTTTTTGGGTTTTCTAAGATTGTTGATATGTTTATTACAATTTCAACGACGTTTTCTAAATTTTTTGGGTCATAAATAGGTTTTTGAGTAAAAACATTTAGTCTTGATTTTTAGCCACCACAATATTTAGAATCTGAGTAAAATTAGATGACGCATCGTTTGATTTTTTTTTCAAAAAAATAGGGTGAGTGATAGATGCAACAAAAAAATTTATTACTTTTTCAAATTATTTTCAAAATTATTTTTTATATTTATATTTAAATTAATAATCTCTTTTCTCTTTTATTTTTTTTATAGAGCAACTTTTAAATGACAGTTATTTTTTAATTATTTTGTATGTATTTAATTTTTTAAGATATTTTTCTGATTAATTTATATTTTTTTTATCTTTTATGTAGGAGAACTTTACTTTTAAAAATAATTTTTTTAGATAATGTTTATAATATGTGCAGCTTTATATAATATTTTTTCTATTTTATATTATTTAATCAATATAATATGTGTATTTATTTTTATTATTGTTTAATTGAATAAAAAATTATTTTAATAAAAAAAAATAAAAAATATATTTGTGTGTGTGAATATATATATATATATATTATATATATATATATATTCACACACATAAATATATTTGTTAATTTTTTTAGATAATTTTTATAATATGTGCAGCTTTATATAATATTTTTCTATTTTATTGATGTATTTTTAAATAAAAAATATTTTGACCCGCTATCATTATTATAATTCTAAAAATACCCTAAAGCAAATATGGAAAGAAGTAGAAATTCAAACATGGTTTCACTACTAACCATTTATTTTTTAAGCGCGCATCTATATATATATATATATATGTTTTGAGTGTCTTTATTCTAACTTGGTCATGGGTTCATGCAACAGTAAACATTATACATATATATTTACATGTTTACTGTTGCATGAACCCATGACCACGTTAGAATAAAAAGACTCAAAACACACTCACAAGAATAAACATGACCCAAAACACACTCATCATGCTATACCTTTGCTTTTAAATGTTTTTTAAAATGTATTTATTTTGAAAAGATATTTAATTAATTTTAGTTAATATTTTTTTATGACTTTAATATATTAATATAAAAAATTATCTTAAAAAATATTTTAAAGTATTTATAAACAAAAAATACTTTTAAAAAGCATTTTATAATGTACTAATATAGGCAATTAATTGAATTCCCACATTTATACATATATCAAGATTAGATTATAATGATTTTAAGAATGCACTCTTTTTATATTCGAATACAATAATTTCTTACCAATGTTTATTTTAATACTTAAATTAAAAAAAAAACTCAATTGAAAGCACTCCTTCTAATTGACTTTGCCGACCAATCCTTCGAGTTTATCTACTAAAAAATCAAAGAAATTTTATTATATAATGTTGAAGCTTTATAGTCGCTATTTCTATATTCGAGGGCTAGCTACTATAATTGACCGCGCACCAGAAGTCCATAATCTTCATTAATCAAACAAGAGTACTTTCCATACCAACGAAGGTATTTTAGTTGCTTAAATAAGTATTCTCGAGCACAAGCAAAAGGTGTTTTAGTTGCTTGTTCTTGAGTTCAAGTTCTTGTGTTTGTGACCAAAAACAAGTTGAAATAAAAAGGATTCGTCTCTTAACATCCTATAGAACCTCGAAGGATTAACCCTGTCCAATAACATAGAATGCCTTGGAGAATAAATAAATAAACAAACAAGACTTTTCCTTTTAGACCGTAGAAGGATTTAATGCTATCTGGGAGCAAGTATTGATTCAACAATTCTCATCTGAAACGGCCATTTATTCTACAAGGAATGAGAAACACTACGCGGATGATCATTCAAAGCAGGAAGTCGTGTTTGTTGACTAAATGCTTAATAGAAAATTCCCCTGGTTGCATCCCAATGTTTACGCTACTTGTGAACTAATTAATTATAATTAATTAATCAAACAATAATAATTAATTAAATCTCATCTTAATTTTTAACACAAAATATGAATAAAAAGATGGTATATATACTTCACACAACGATCACCTCTATTAACTTGATCCCTCCTCCCTCCACGTAATCACATTAAGTGGTTTATCCAAAATTTAATATCAGAAGACGTGTTTAGATCAGTATTAACAAAACTAAATCCATGTGCACAACAAGCCTTCTTCTCTGTCGGCCAGTAATTCTGTCAATTACTTATTTTATTCCTATATATGTCCCTCTGAGATCGATTTCTTAATGTTCTGTCTCCTTCACTCTAGTTTCTTCTTTTTGGTTAATGATGAATAATTGATTTAACATCACCAACTAATGACCACCTAAAGCAAGATACTTCCTAACCCTAAAAGAAAAATTAAAAAACGAATAAAATATAATATCTACTTGAAGCCTTTGAAGAATTCATATAGATCCCAACCCGACCCATTTTGCTTGAGAACTATGTTAATCTAGAACAATATTAATTAGCATTTGATCATCAATTTTTCTTTTCAGTCCTTCAATTTATCTCTTGAATTAACCACTTCAAGACCTTATTTAATCTATACATTACCATTTTTCCTAAACATCATTATCTCCACGTAATCTACAGATAAATTAATCGAGAAAAAAATTCATAGCCCAAAAAGCAAAAGCAAGAAAAACTAAGAAAGAAGAAAACTTGGAAGTCAACATTCAACAATCAAAGTCAAATCCTTGAAATTGTCTTTGTACACAAATCTTCTGTATGTTTTGGAAATTTCCAAGGAAACCCAATTGTCCACGCAATATTCAACAAAGAAAATCAATGAATATGAAATTATCACCATAAAATATTGCTCTCCTAATACAAAAATCGCACACACATAACCCTTCCCCTCTATTCTACCAAAGACACAAGGGAGTTAGCCATGGGAGATAATCACATGCCTCCTACCGTTTCTTCTTGGCCCTTCCAACCCGGTTCACCCGACAGTGGCTTCTCAGGCTTTAATCATAGTACTAATTATGATTTAAACAGCAAGATTATGCTCACTGCAATTCTATCATTATCCTTCGTTGTTGTGCTTGTTATAGTTCTTCATATTTATGCAAGATGTGCTCTAAGACGTCATCAAGCCCGTCGCCGCGCTGTTATGAATAGCCTAGGGCTAACTAATGCTAATGTCAACTCCGGGGAGCCACCCAAGAGGGGGCTTGATCCGACAGTCATAGCCTCACTCCCCATATTTGTTTACCAGCAAACTGAAGGCCAAGCTGAGGATGATTTGATAGAGTGTGCTGTTTGCTTAAGCATGCTTGAGGATCAAGAAATGGCTAGGATTTTACCGAATTGTAAGCACAAATTTCATGCTGAGTGCATCGATAAATGGTTAAGCTCCCATTCTACCTGTCCTATTTGTCGGACCGAGGCTGAGCCAATGATCCAGCCCGAGCCACGTGAAGGTCCGGCTGGTGGTACTGCACACACAGATCCAATGTTGGAGCCTATGAATTCTACATCAGTATGTGATGAGGGCACATCATCATCGGTTGGTGGAAATCAACCATCTCCAAAAGTCGTCGGTTCGGGTTCACGGTTGAGCTCGTTCCGAAGGATGCTTAGTCGTGAACGATCATCAAGGAGAATCCAACCTGAGGTTCAAGATCAAGAGGGTTTTCAAGATTTAGAGAGACAATGATTTTAGGTAATATATAGAATGCGTTTATTTTATATACATATCCAATTCCAGCTGCTGGTTTACATTTTTTGGGTGAAAAATTTGATGTTTTTCTGATTAAAATCAGTACATAATACAGATGATGATATCAAATTTCATATGTATTTAATTTCCTAGATTTATGAGGTGAAGATCATGCATATGTGCAGAAATGTTACCGGTTACTTTTTTTTATGTTTCAGAAGGTTTTTTTTTCGTGACTTTTTTTTTTTTATGTTTCAGAAGGTTTTTTTTTTAAATGATAATCGAGCAATATTATTAATGAAAGCTAAAAATAAGAGTTTAGTAGTTTTTGAGAAATAAAATAATATAACTAAAATTAAAGTAAGGATTCCAAGAGTTAAAAGTTTCAGAAGAACTGTATTGTTGATTTAATTAATGTTAAATTATTTTTAAAATTTTAATTTGAAAGTGTGATTATAGTTGTTTTTCAAAGTGCGTTTCACTTAGAAATATATCAAAATAATATATTTTTTAATTTTTAAAAATTATTTTTGAAATTAGCGCATCAAAATAAACTAAAAATAAAAAAATTATTTTTTTCAAAAACACTTTTAAAAAGATAAAATAAATAAGGTCTTAGACATGCACACCAACAAACGATACACAACCAAGTCTCGTTGCTGCAATTAATGGTTTTAGTGACAAAAATATTTGATAGTATTTATATTAGTAGTTTGTTTGCATGTATGTTACCGATAAACTCATGAAAGGAAACCTTCCATTAGAAAAATTGTCATTAGTCATTTATGAACTTTTAGTGAGTATATCGGTAATAAATATATCGATAAATTCACAGACAAAAAAATACACCAATAAAAACTTATATACTTTATTTCGTTGGTATATCTATCAGTAAATATAACATATCTGCGATAAAATATCATTTGTAATTTTGTTAATGCATTAACAATAGTAATGATATTTACAGTAATTCTTTTATAATTCTTTGAAATATATTGATGGAGGTGACCTATAAGTAAACTCATTAGTAATATTTTTAAAAAGTATTTAAAAATATATATTAAATAGAAGTATAAAAATAATTAAAATCAAATAGTATTTATTATAAATTTAAAAATTTATATGTTCAAATATAATAAATCTAAAATAAAAACGATGTTAGATCGAAGAAGGAGGAAGAGGATGGTTGTCGTTTGAATTATAGAGCCAATTGTAGGATGTACATGCCAATGTAGGTATTTCTCTAAGAGTCTTTTTTTATAAAAGATGTCTCGTTACAACATCATGATTGAGAAACTTTTCTCGAATTAGATAGTGCATAATTGATAAAACCTTAAACCTCATTACAATAACTCATCCTTCGCGACTCCTGGTGTGAATTCGTATACATTTATAAATGATTATTCATCACTTCTATTAAACCTATATAAAAAATAATGATGACAACATGTATTAATTAAGTACATTAACTAAATAATTTACAAAAATATTGATTTAACTCAAATTTATTCAATCTATTTGAATAATACTCTTGATTGATTATTAATTATTTACATAAATTTAAATTTCTACATATTTACTAAAAAATTCAACTCAGCAATAAAATTGACAAAATATAAAATGGACCCGTTAAATAAAACATTATATATTTCATGACAAAACACCTAAGTTAAAAATTTGATATAAGTTTCATCAATTTATAAATAAATATAATTTTATAAAATCTAAAACAAACCCTAACATTTATGAATTTTAAATTCACACAACAATTTTGTATGAGAAAAAACTATTAAACAAATAAACACCCAAACAAAAATATATACTACATAAACTATGAAAAAAACTAACATTTTAAAATTTATTAGAAATAAAAAAAAAGATAGAGTAGATTTACTTACTTAAAATGAAAAATTCTCAATAAAATTTGAATCTAAACATGGATGCTAATAAACTAGGTGCTGTGGTAGCTATATTTGTTGTGGGAGGTTGAATTGTATTAAAAATAGAGGAGGGTGGTTGTTTGTTGCAAAAAAAAAGTATAATAAGGAAAGAGAAATGGAGAAGGGGGGAGGAAAGTTGATCGTAAGGTTATAAATTAAATATTACAAATAGCATTATTAATGGAATAATTCTATCAGAAACTTTATCAGTTATTTTGTCAGTAAAAATGCTAACATTACCATATGATTTATCTTTTTGCATCCCATTATAAAACCCTCTGTCATTCCCTCGATACATACCAAAGTAATTTTTTTGTTGGTGTTTACTAATAGATACAGGAATGAAAAATTTTATTGGTAAAGGTCATCACAATGTATTGACAAGTTTTTTTTATCAATGTTTTCGTTTATATTTATTAATTTTCTAATAATATCTTATATGAGTTTATTTATTTTACGTTTCAAAAGTATTTTTGAAAAAAAATTAAAGTTGTTTCATTTTTTGCTTCAAATTTGTGTATTCTATAATCATTTTGATGTGGTGATGTTAAAAATAAATTTTAAAAAATAAAAAAAATAATTTAATATATTTTTAATAAAAAATAATTTAAAAAATAACCATTACTATAATAACAATAGTATTAAACATTTATTTATACAGTCTACTGTTGTGGACTCTTGATGTTTGGTAACCTATGAAGATAATGGGCGCAGGTAATAATGTAGAGGTATGTTAGGTGCCTGCCATGTGAACCAACCTCTCAAGTCTCCATGAACAATTTGTTTAGCAGCCACGATGGACTCCAGATTTTGATTCTTTTATATTGATGACCATAAACAAATACTATTAAGGAGTTAAACCCAATGCTGCATTAATGCTGATCTCTTCGTATTTCTTGTTCGGAAATTGTAGTCACACCGATGGTAAAATAAACGATTAATTAAAAATGGAAGTTGTTATCTGTTATATCACTACCGTGTGGGTCTGGATCTTTATGGAAATGTTTGAAATTAAAAATATATCAAGTTGATAAAATTTTTAAATTATATGTATTTTTAAAATTTAATTTTAAATATGAAAACAAATTATTAATGAAAAGGGTATTAATTCTAAAAATAAAAAATTTAAAAAAATTTAATTTTTTTATTAACATAAATATCTAGACTAGCTTGCATGTATTTCGACTAATTTTATAAATTCTAAAATTAATTATAATATAAATTTTAATTGCTCCTGAAATTTATAAAACTTGAATAAATAACTTTTAAAAAATAAATTTAGAGCTAATCAATTAAAATTAATTGTATTATATTCTTTGAAATTAATTTGATGTAACGGTGTAAGTAGCCAAAACGTTCTTAATAAGTTAAACAAGTGTTTAGGCTAGCTTGTATATACTTAAACTAATTCCATAAATTCTGAAGTTAGTTATAATATAAATTTCAAGTGCATCTAAAATTTATAAAACTTTTTAAAAAAATAAATTTAGAGCTGATCAATTGATTAATTGTATTATACTCTTTGAAATTAATTTGATTTATCTTTGATGTAACGGTGCAAGTAGCCAAAACGTTCTTAATAAGTTAATACTATTTTTTTGTTTAATTAGTACTGTTTAAACCACACAGAAATTAGATGCCATAATCCAACTGCCCTTCTTTGAAGGCATTTGGTCAATAAGTTGTGATGAAATAATTGTCAAATTTCCAAGGCATTTTTTTTTTTAATTTCACACCAGTTACCTCGTATTCGATTGATGCAACGAATTGTCAAAGCTCTGAGGTGTAAACCTGCGAAATTTGACTTTAATTAAGGTGGGCGTGGAAGCCTATGAATGACGATTTGTAACTTTATTTCTTTTATATATTGATATGTCAATTCAAAGCAGCTAGCACTTTATTTTATGGATGATCCTGGCGAAGTAGCAATTTGTTGTTTAATTAAAACCTAAACGGAGAACACATGAGGAACCTATCACAGCTTGAGCACCGTTACTTTGACTTAATTAACATTCATAATCATTTTTCTCAATTCTTAACCGAGCTAGCAAATCAAGGGTGGCGGTGGTTTTGAAGAACTTTGGAGCTCTAAGCTCAACCATCCCCTCTTGTTTGATGAAAATTCTGGACTCCATGGAATTGAAAAAAAGGCCAAACTAGATGACAAAGTCCCAGGAGTCAATGTCTAGGTGGTGGCACTGTACAAATCGTGGACTGTAAGGCCTAGGAGTTTTTGACTTCCCTCGTGAATCTAGATGAGGGAAAGTCAGGTGGGTCCGTTCTCTTGTCAAAGCCGGTGAGGAAGTTTCCAGGGTCCAGCCATATTGGTTGTAGAAGAGAGGGGGAGGAAAATACAACAGCCTTGGCGTTAGATAGAGGCCAGACGTGGGATGCAAAGGGGAAAAGGAAGAAATACCATAGCCCTAGCAGTGTCTCCAGTGACGCTAATAGGGTTTATGAATAGTCCTAGCAATGTCTCAAGTGAAGCTAATAGGGTTTATGAAGGAAAAACAAGCTATTGGATTGATTTCAAACTTTGATGTTAATTATGGGGGGGTGTAATTTTAACTCGTACTTTATCATATATTTTTAACCTAAATTCTCAAGTAATTATAGATGAGGTTCAAGAAATAATTCTATGTTACTTTTAAACATAATTTTCCAAGTTAGAATTCTTTGGATTTAAAATTGGTATAGAACTAACATATACTTGATGTTTAATTATTAAATTAATTTAGAGAATAATAGGGTTAGTTAGGTTTTAGGATTAATCTTATATTATTTTTTAAGATATGTCGATATCAATTATTAAAGATGGCTCATGGTAATATAATTTTTAAACCTAACCCGGTGATCGATCTAATTCAAGAATCAAGTCATGAGTTTTGACAGGTTACTGAGTTAATTTCAAATTTTTTTTATAAAGTAAAATAACATCATTTTTTTTTTAAACAAGCTCCAACTAGGTTTTTTATCGGATCTTGTTGAGTTATTAAATTTAAAGTTTTAATTTATTTTTATTTTTTTAAATCTAATTTGATTTTAATCCTGGATGGGTTTTAAGTTGAACTGTGAGGCTGGGTTTTTTTATTATTATTATATATATTCCATGGTTAATAGTTATTATCCACAGGAAACAATCAATCATAATTTTTCAAATAATTTAGTACAAAATAATATGAATTGAATTTTAAATTGAGTATGAAAATATTTATATTTAATCATTATATTTAAATAAGATAATTACTTAAAAAAACTCATTCAGTTAGATCGGTTTAAATTAGTGTTCTTCATGTCGAGATTATAAATTGCTTCCCTATTAATCATAGCTCGTTGGTTGATGCCATGGCCCAGGTTTTGTCTAAAGTGCCTAGTAATTCATGGACCCAATTAATACGTTTGAATGTAAGGGTTTTTGCAATATTGGGCCTTTGGAGACCTGCCCATTCTCATGTGAGCTTTCAAAGTTTAAACAACGCCTCCTCACTGTTTTTCAGATCATTGTGTTAACTGTGCAGTCGACCGTTAACCCACGGCTCTCCGGTCAGTCTCCGGCAGTTTAACCGTCTTATGCCCTCCGAAATCCTTATTATTGAAAAATATTAACAGTAAAGCATTTGAGGAATGTTTTTAGATGCAACTCCAGACTAGTTTAGTAGATTTTAATTTTAAAAACAAATAAATCAATATATCGTGATAAAAAGTAAATTAATAAATCAATATTAGATTTTAATTTTATACACAGCTTCATATTTTTGTTAATTACATATATTAACTTCACTTCCAGCTTTATATATTAAGTTTGAGACACCATTCATAAAAGTAAATTCATAAATATTATCCTTGATGATCCTTCACGACTAAGCACTATATTTTTCTTAATTTATCTTGCATATATTATTATCCTAGTCTATAAGTAATTTCTGATTAACCAAACACACTAATTGATTGGACGAGATATATGAAATCCTTACAGGAAAATGCACACGTCCTCACAGAGGATGTGGGCTACTGCCAATAGACTAAGGTTCTTCTCTCTTTTGAATTGAGGAAGTGTAAAAGAAAAGGTGAGCTTCCAATAAGCAAATTCGAGGAATCAATTACGTGTAGAATCCAACCCTCTATTAGGAAGAAGAAAAAATAAAGTTTCTTGAACTTCTTCTATTTTTATAATTTTTATGTTCAAACCTTATAAGAGCCCTCTGGGATTTTGAGATTGCCATGGCGAATCCAAGTTGTAAAGTGATGATGTGTGTGAAGCACAGCTCTTGCTCAAGAAAATAGACACCAGCAGCTTTTCTTTTTATATTTTTCATGAGCTTAAACATGCCCTCTGGGATTTTGAGATCGGGTCCTTTTGGAATTTTGCCAAGGCGAATCCAAATTGTAAAGTGATGATGTGTGTGAAGTACAGCTCTTGCTCAAGAAAACACACACCAACAGCTGTATTGTTGAAAATGATGCAAAGGGAATCACCATTTCATTGTTAGACAACGAAGGTTCTCCAAATCTTGAGAAACTTTAAGTTCATTCTAGCTCGGACGCATGGGGCCGGGAAGCTTGTCTAGTGCTTGTCACTCAGCCGAAAAAATAATTGGCAAGCACAAGTTCATGGACCCTCGTATGGCTGGATGACAGCTTAAAAAGTAGATCAAAACAAAAGCAAAACACATTAGCAAAAATAGATCAGATACACAAAAAGATTCGGAGAAATTTTCCACTCCTAAAATGAGAACGCGGTGCAGGCAGTATAGACTGCTTTATGGCCGGCCACTCCAAGAATCCCAAAACTGAGCCTTGACATCAATCTAGTAGACTACAAAAGCAACTTCAATTTACTTGATTTTCTTGATAAGAAAAGCTTCACATACAGAGATAATAACAGTAGTGGAAGATGATTCCTGGAACCTACAAAACCAATACCAAGCCAAGGATGGATATTAAATGCCCTCAACTCCCAGCCAAAAAAAGCCTTTGCTTTTGCTCCAACTATTTCAGTTCTCGCTTAATCAAACTCAGCAAACTAATGTCATTAAACTAGCCACGTAAATGCAACGAGCAAATAACTGGTGACCAAAGGCAGAAACCATGTGCCAACAACCCTATTGCTGCTGCTCAAATCTGCACTATCTGGTCTCATCTGTATTGTTCCTGTTGATGAAGAAACGCTTCCATTATTCACTGATAAGCTGCATTACAAAATCCACATGTATCAATGTCTGTTCTTATAATTTGAATAAGCACCAAAATGTTAAGCAATATTGTCCATGTTAATTTCAGTCCAACAGTTTTGGCCAGAAATAATCCATTTTGCTGCCAAGCAACACGGGTTGTTCAAAAATTTTCTCAGCATATAATCTTGTTTCCCAAGAGACATTACATATTCTGTATTTCTATTTGATCATCTCGGTAGCAAAATTCAGCTCCATAGAAACAAACAGAACCTAAATATGAAGCGAGTATCTTAGTCTTGTGTTTAAAAGGAGGTTTTCTCAAGAAACATTACATTTTCCGTCATTCAAAATTTGACCATCTCAGTAGAAACAAACAGTTCCATAGAATACTTTCCATAGAAACAAACAGAACCTACACATAAAGCAAGTAACTTGGTCTTGTGTTTAAAAGGAGAACATGACTCCATTAATGCCATTTATAGATTCTATTTTCCCAAAAACTAAAACAAAACTGTATTCACAAAACTAAATCAAACACTATGCTTCCAGTTTTAGTCCATTACCTGGAAGGAAATTTGCATTTATCAAAACCTGAAACCGAAAAATAAAACATATAATTAACTCATATCCAAATGATTAACATATTAAACACATAATCAACTAAATAGATTCAACATTTCCAAGCTAAAACACATTGATAAACCCATGTTTAATCAAGAATTAGCGATGGAATAACAAAAACGTAAAAACTCCAACAACAATTTAATCAAGATTCAAACTTTACAGATCCAAAACCGCAGAAATTAACCAGAAAAGAAACAAAAGCCAAAATTCTATTTAATAAAAAAAGATAAAAAGTAAATAATTACTTGGATTCAAAGAAGTGAGAGCAGCAGTATTGCTGAAGTAACAAGCATCATCAGTCAATCCATTCTTCAAGTAATAATCATTAAAAGCCCAAGAAGCTGTTCTCTGAATATCACTAGAATCATAGCACGGCCCTCCTTGTTGTATTGGTCCACAATTAGCCCCACCTGGTCCACATGCCCAATCAATAGATTCTTGCAGTGCCTGATCAGCAGCGTTGTTCTTGGCTACACACCATAGATCCCTTGGTGCTATACCCTTCTGGGCCCTCAAACACTCTGGCATTGACAAAGCCACTAGAAGTGGCAATACACAGAGAAAAAAAGAATAGATTTTAGACATGTTTCTGGGCAGAGAAAATCAGAAATCTCGGTGGATAATTTAAAGGAGGTGATTTTGGAGCATATTTAAAGAGGGGAGTAGAGAGGAAATGAAAGGGAAATAGTAACCGTTTCGAAATGAAAGGAGAGGATTAAAGTAACTGCTTTGAAGTGGGAATTCGAAGAGAAAAGAAATGAAAGGAAAGTAACCGTTTTGAGATGGGATTTGGAGGGTTTTTATTCAAGTGGAAGATGGAAATGTGACCGTTGGAGGGTCGAGGAGAGATCCAAGAACCAGACAGAGAGAGGGAAGGAGGGAGGGCTGGCGATAGCGAGTGTTGTAGGGTACTTAGTGATAAATGATGGATGTGTTCGTGTCTTGGAATCTTTAAAATTATTACAGAAAGCCTCTGGTGGCTGCTGTCTTTGGGGATAATCAACTATTAATATACTAATTTTATACCCTTTTCACAATTAAATATATAAGCTTTATTTTAATTTTTTTAGTATATTGATTTTTAAAAAATCAATTTAAGTATCAATTTTTTTGTTTTTTGATCACCTGTCATTTACCCTTAAATTGCTGGTATTGTTTTAACTTATATTTTGTAAAAATCGAGTAGATGAATGTTAGTATTTTTTATTATATTACATCAAAGTTTTTTATTGTTTAATTCAAGTACTTTTATAATTAACTAGGTTCCTTTAATTAAGTAATTTCTTAATATGATATCTGTATCATGATCTCATCAACTTTTTATTTATATTGCAATCATATGTTAATTGTTTTTTTTTTGTTCTTTTTTTTTTTAATCTTTTATCTTGTTAGAATAATATATTGCTATCATATGATATCCGCAAATGCTAGCGAGAATTTTGGATACGGTCCCATGAAACTTTTTTTCCCTACCCTGAGAAGCTTTAAAAAGGTAAACAAATTAGTGTAATTGTATCTTAAAAAATAATATAAATTATATTTTATATTTTTATTTAATAATTTTAAATTTTAAATTAAAATAAATTTTTAATAAGGTATTAGAGTTTTATAACTAATAAGTCATAAATTTAAATTTTATTATCTTTATTTATTTTGATAAAAATTAAATATAAAATTATATAAAATTTAAATATAAAAAGTTTTTACTCAAAAAAATATATTAAAAAATAATATAAATTATATTTTAAAATTTTATATAATAACTTAATTTTTTTTATTAAATTAATTTTTGACAATCTTAAGTCATACATCATACATCATCCATCATCGATTATCTATGAATATTATACACCAATGAATAAAAGAAATCAGCTTCCATGTACAACAATAAATATTTTTGGCATTGATATATTAAAATGTTTGTAAAATATAAAAAATTAATTTTAAATAAAAATAAAAATAAATAAATTTTAATAAAACGGTTTCAATCCGCACCTTAGTTGTCCTTACATTGACGTGGGGTCTTGGCCCTTAAACCTGACCCACTATTAATTATAGCATCTCATCCCCTTGACTGGTGACCATCACCGTTACAAACTTCGCATCTGCGAACTAACGGGGCTCATACAATTCGGGCACTGTTCATATATATTATCTATATATATGTTAAATATAGATAATATTAGATAATAAATACTGGTACGAATACTTTGCTATGAATATTTAATTTTTTTTAAATTTGATGATGGAATCTAAATTCTACCAAGAATATTTTATGCATGAAGGTATACTAATTACAAGGAAGAATTATTAACTCAGTTCATGTAAACTCAAGTACAGTTCAAACAGCTTGTTGTAACATTATTACAAGACCAATGTGGGCATCATCAGAATTATACCTGAAGTTACTTGCACACAATTATATGGGACTGAAAGAAAGGTCTTAAGACAAATTACCTTAATTTAAACACACCAATATTGCAACAGTATAATTCTGCTAATAATTATAACTGGATTTGTTATTATATGCATATCTTGGGTACGTAATCTTCACGCCTGGCAAATCTCATGCTTTCATCATTGATCCAATCGAACTTCTCAGAGAAAGGGTTAGCAAAGGTGTTTGGAGGGTAATGATCTATGCAGTCTTTCCAGACATTTTTATCCTCCGAGTCCTTCATAACCTTCCACACACAATTGTTGCACTCAAAACCTGCCCCAAGGCTGATCATCAGTATCCTATCTCCTTTCTTGAGCCTTTTCTTGGCCTCCATGTAACCTAAAACATACCACAGGCCACCGGTTGGTGTGTTTACACACCGATAAAGTGCCATTCTAGCTGGTTCAAGATCATGATCGTTGAGTGCTAAGCTCTTACCAACCTCATCGATAATCGCGCGTCCACCAGGGTGCACACAAAAGTGGTCGATTCCAGACTTGAGATTCAAACCAGGTCCTGCAATACCCTTAGACCTCTTCGTTATTTTATTTCGACAATAGCTTATTTTATAGCGGAGCATTTCTGACAGTGGTAAAACTTTAGGAAGAAGAACTCGGAGGTTCATGGTTAAAGCTTTAGCACCAGCTCTTGGTAGATCTCTAGTGAGGCGAAAGCCTCTGTTGCCAAGGTCATCTTCTACTTGGATACAGCTGCTGTATGCTTCGTGATCAGAGCCGATATGTGTGCGTACAGCACAAGTCAATTCCAAGAGGGCTTTTTCCTTCAAAGCTATATTATTTGTTAGGAGCATGGAGCAGCCCCCAGTACGAAATAGAATGTTGGAGAGCATCATGGACTTCTCTTTTCCGGAATACCAATTTGGACCTATGGATTCTGTGCTCACAACAATTGCAAATGAATTCCTGTATGTCTTGAACAATTGCTTGACTAAATCAACCGCTACCACACTTGCACTGCAACCCATTCCAGAGAGATTGAATGCCTTGATGTCCTTCCCCATCTTGTAACGGTTTATTACTCGAGCCGTTAGAGAGGGAGCTGGGGAGAACAGAGAGACTGAAGCGACAATAATGTCAATATCTGATGGAGAAATTCCTGTCTTAGCAAAGAGCTTGTCAAGAGTATCAAAAATGACATCATCCACCTCCGAAAGTGCATCCATAAGAGTTGCAGATTCCTCTCTTCCTTCTATGACATTCCTCGGGCAATAAGTTTCTTCTCCAATGCCAGAACTAACCATAGTTTTTAAAAGAAACCTGTATTCTTCTATTCCCAGACTACTGTTTCGTAAAACAATTTTAGCACAAGATCCAGTATCAAGCTTTCGGTCCTCAGCGGCTTTATGGCACTGGTAGCTTAGCATATAACAACGTTGGTCTCTCTTTTGGTATGCCAACTTACAAAGCTTGGAGATGGCATAGAATAATAGTAGCAGACAGAATGCCAAGAACAACTCCATAACAAAAAAGAAAAGGCTATGAATTGAGTTTCAAGAGATACAAAGGTTTTCTTCAATTTTTCAAGATAATATCTACTTAGAAATCTCAAAATAGTTGAGACATTATACATAAACGTGAGTGTAGAACAATTAATGTTCAAAACCGGACTGACGATAGAGAAGAGAGCATCAATCTACTTATCCTAGTGTTTCATAATAGGATTCACATGGCTGAGCTAAGGAATGGAGAGGCACCAGTAGCTGAAGATAGATGGATAAGATAACATTAACATTAACTGCATTTGGCATCTTCTTTGCTCATAAGTAATGTCCCCACCATGGCCACCACACCTAGTAAATTTACTAACTATTTGATTCACATTCAGCAAAGTTGGATAAATGTTTTTAACAAAAAAAAAAAACAGAGAGAGAGAATTTGACTGCATTTTATACATTTTTTATATAAAAAAAATCTTAATTGTGAATTTAAAAATTGATACTTGTATTTAATTGAATAAATTAAAAAAATATATGTGCAATCAAAATAAATTAAAAATATAATTGTTAACCAACCAAAGTAAAATAACCAAACTCGTAATTAAATCATGGAATTAATTAGATTTAATAATTTTTTAATATTTTTATTTAATTAAATAATAATTAAAATAAATAATTAAAAAATTCATCATCAATTAAATATCTAAGTGTTTGTTTGATGAGATCATAATAAACCTACACATATTAAATCAAAATAAATTATATTATACAATTAAAAATAAATAAAATAGTAAATAAAAAAATAAAAAAATCAATAAAGATCTGAAGAATTAAATTGAAAAATAATCAATAAATAAATAAGTAAAAAAAAAAGCCAAAATACACAAGCTAGTAATTCATATGCCTAGATCTCTTTAACCCTTTTTTTTTTGTTTTTTATGGGCATCATCCACCTCTATTCTTTTAGAAGAAAAAAAAAAGGCAGCTGACATGGTGCTGCTTTACCCAAATTCCAATAATCAAAGTTCACTAAAAAGTTAGGGCATAGAATGTTTTATGCTTAAGAATTTTTTTTTTCAAGCATTTTGTTTTATGTAAAATCACTCTAGAAGCCCTAATAAAACAGTTCATTCCTTTAAATAACTCAAAAATGATCTAAAAATAAAAAATTAACCTCAAATCCAAAAAAAAATTCAAATCAAATTTGATTTTTCAAGTAATTTTAAGATGAAATAATACTCTAGTGAAACTCTTCTAGTTAATTGGAACTCATGCATACCAATAATGATCATTTTAATAGTTAAAAAAGTTATCAATCTATATTTTCTCTTTCTATAACTAAAATCTGATAGTTTTCTATCTTCTATCTTAAGTCAATGACTAAAAAATACAAGAAATGAAATTTTAAACCAAAAGTGAACTTTGAGATAATTAAAAAGATGGAAAATAGATATGTTGAAAACTAAAAGGATCATAGTAAATTTTTTTAATCAATTTCAAAAAGATCTCCTCTTTCCTATGTGTTTTTCATATTGGTCCTTTGTTTTTCAATTCTACCCTTTTTTAATAAAATAGAAGCATTTTGTCATCAATTTAGTCATAGATGGATGCAATTGATGAGAAACAAAGTTTGATAACCAAAAAAATCAATATGGAAGTCAACTCTGAATTTTAAAGGGAGCTATAATGGCATGGGGACAAATAATTTATCTACTTCTTCTAGTGTTTGCTGTAATAAGATATGGATTTTCCAAACAAAATTTATTAAAGTAGGTCAATAATTTAAAATTTTTTAAGAAAAAAATCAAACCAGATTTAATCAAATTTAAGATTGATCTATTGAGTTGACCAAGTAGCATCAAATCAACTCTTATTTAATTTAATTTGAAACTCGATCTAAACTAAAACTAGATTGATGTATCATTAGATTGGCCTATCAAGTTGGATGAAAACAAGTTTAATATCACTACTGTAAGGATTATAATAAAATCAATTTAGATATTGAAGCTAAAGAAGTCATTATATAACTATTTATATCTATCCAACCATATATTGTAATAAAAAGAGGAATTTATCTATAATTTAATTGATGTTACATTTTTTTCATTTGTTTTGAAAAATTACAGTTTATATCTTAAATCAATACAAGTTTTCAAATTAAATGAAAAGATGAAACAACCCTTATATATAATACATTAAAAACTCAAACAGAAATAAGATTTTCTCCCACCATTTCTCTTTTTTAAGTATTATTTTCTTTCTCTTTTCATAATAATCTGAACCGAAATCAAAATATAGTGTTTTTAATTAATTGATTTTTCTCTTGCGCTTTTGGAATCTCTCTTTTTTCGTGAAAAGCAATTAGATATGTCTTTTCAAAAGCCTTGAAAAAACCACAAGTTAGCTTAGGAAGAACCTTGATTTTTTAATCTTTGTCGATTTATTGGATAAAGGAAATTGATTCCAGGCAAAACACATAAATACTCATTCTTCGAGAAAATTCAAACATTTTTTTGGAAAATATTTCAATCATCTCTTTAATTCTTCGTAAATCCACCTCTTATTCATCACTTCAAGAGAAATTCAAACATCTAGTTATGGTGAGTTATTTTCTTGCTTGCAATTGTTGTTCGTTCATTTTGTTTCAAACGAGAAATGGGTTTTTAGCAAGCAATGGGTATAATTAAATACTCATATTTCGAAGGTGCTAGTTGAGGGCATCTATATTCGCTGGACTTGGGTCGCTTGGTAGTGGGCGTGGGCGTGCACCTAGTTTATTTGGAGTTCGGTGGCTATGGAGTTCGGTGAAGGCAATGGCAAGTCCGACTAGATTGTGGGTTCGGTGAAGTTGTGGGTTTACCAAACCGTTAAAAAATTTAATTTTAAATAAAAAAATAATTTTTTTAGGAGTAACATTTTTGAAAAAAGAAAAAACATGCACGAATTGGACGACAAGCATAACATCAAATTAATGTATCCTGAATGTTAAGAAAAGCCACGATTTTCACATTCCAGCAGCGTGTGTCGTACAAGAATGACCCGTTCTATAATCTAAAGAGAGATCTTTCTATCTCTTTTCTGTAAGGACACTGGCCCTACTGTCAACAAGATTTAAGCTTCCTTCTTTAGAAGAGCAGCGGCGCACTACTTTTTACACTTGAGATCTGGTTCTTTTGTCTTAAATTCCCAGTAACGACTTCTCTGTTGTACCTTGATGAATCCAGCCACTTGATGGGGAGGACCAAGCGTTGCTTCTTGAGGAAGTGGAGCCTTTTTGTCTTTTTCTAGAGAGTCGTTGGGGTTGGTTGGTCAGTCAAGTGGAGGTAATAAGTGGCTTGTTGGAGGAAGATGGGTTACCTCTTACCTGCCTTGGGTCTCGTGCCATTTTCGAGACCTCTTTGTTGTGCCGGTAGCAACTATAGTCGCTAAGGGGTTGCATGACAAGCGTCCGGCGAGGTCATAAGCTTCCCGCCCCCGGAGAGACCAAATTGGTTGTGGGTGGCTGCTTTACCCCCGGAGAGACCAAAAATTGGTTGTAGGTGACTGCTTTAGAAGGGCAATGAACGTAGAGGGTTGATCGGCATCATGATCTAACCTGAGTATATTGTAAATACCCGATTGCCTATATCAGACTCTGCCAAGATTGTCATGAGAACAATGACTCGAAATAGTCCACGTGTTCCTTTTCTTTTTCTTTTTCCAAAAAAAAATAATCTTTCAAGTTGATTTTACATGATTCGGATAGAATTGGTCAATATGACATTGGAAACTTATTCCGAGTAATCTTAAGTTTTTTATTTATCAATATGTTGAACTGACAATATTTATTGATCAGAAGTGTAACTTGTTCCCTTCTGGGCTAACCCATGCTTGCGATTGTGGTCTTGGCCTCTGGATGAAAATGAGATGACAAACTTGTTCATAAACATTGTGGGTGTCATAAATACCAGCACATGAGTAGTCTCTCCTTCCGTATGGCTGTGAAGCAGATGCTGTAATCTTGACATAACTGCACATGAATGCTCTTCAACTTGCGTTGAAATGGTAGTAAATGTATCATTCTGTCAAAAGGTTGTCCGTTGATAATTTCTATAAAAAAAGAAGAGTACTTGTTCCCTGTAGATCCGCAGAGGTGAGAAACGAGAAATCCCAGCAGCTGGTCTTTTGAAAGTTTTGCAACAGGAAGCACCCATCAGTACACATACAGTGAACAGTGTAAAAGGGCACCTAGCACTGCAGCCCAGGACAGTCCAGAAACCAGGAGATTCTGCAAAACAAAGAGACATCGAGAACTCAGAATCCAGTCATTCACATGCAAATCAGTGACCAAAATGCAATCTCAATAATTCTTCTTGACAGCACTATGGCTTGGTTATTAAGGGTCAGTTAGTAACACGAAGCAAACCGTATTTTTTTAAAATTTTAAAAAAGAAATTGGTTTATATATATATATATATATATATATATATATATATTA